CAACACAAAAATGCGGACCAACAGAAATGAAATAGATTACTTAGGCAAAGGCGCAGAGATGAGGAGACAAGCGCCCAAGGGACACCCAGACTAGCCCTCTCCATCGCCTTGTTTGAGAAGCTCGTGTTGCTCCTGTCTAGTGACCACGACCCCCAGAGCGCCCAGGCCAGTGATGGGCCGGACTCTTGGGAAGACCCCAGTTTCCAATTCCTAGACTTGGCGTGGGAAGCTCTCTGATGCTTTCCACTCTCTGGAAAGCATGGTCAGTATGGCTTCAACTATGGGAACACCGCGGAGGGGGGAGTTGAAAATCGCTCCAGCTGCCCACCTTCCCAAAGACCAGCTAATCATCCCTATAAATACAGCCTGGCTTGGCCTGGCCTGGCTCTTTAATCCTGACAGGGAAGGAGGGGGTCACTAGCGAGGCTGAAGAATCTCTGTTTGGGAAAGGGGGGGCGTTATGTGGATGCAAATGTTTTTCTGAAGGGGCATCTCCCGTGAAGACGGGTCTTCTTGGTGAAAATGTCACTTTAAAATCTCTCTCCTTGGGATATGGGGAGTCTCATGGGTGGGGACAATTTCCCACAGAGAATATGGCTTTTAGGGGGTCGCTCATTGGGGTTATCCTCACCAGGCTCCCCACGTGAAATGTCTGTCACCCGTGGGAACTTTGCAGAAATGTTTCTTCCTGGGGGAGGGGAGCTGGTGAGAGGAGGACTCGCCTCTCAATGACCATCTGTCTCGGGAATGATTTTCTGGGTGAGGGGAGAGTTTGATTGGCAAGGGCCTCCCTGTGGAGACGATGTCCCCATGGGAATGTGTCCCTGTTGGGTCGCGGGGGCACTCCCATAGGAAACATATCTGTGAGGCTATCGTTCTAGGTATTTCTTGGACTGGGCTCTACCCATGAGCATGTTTCTCCCCTGGGGCGCCTCCTCATAGGGGTCCCTCGGTAGCTCGGCTGTCTCTCCGGTTATCTGGAGGCTCCTCCCCCGCCTCCCCCACCCCCCAGCGCAGGGGACCTTGGCCGAGGCCGGGCTCCAGCGCCCAGACGCAGTG